AGCATGGTGTTAAACAAGGTTGTAGGTATTCCTTTCTTTTACCTTCTGAAAGTCTTCCTTCCTAGAGCAACCATTGGTAGTAAGACAACTTGTCAGGTAGCACCTTAGAAATAGTGTCTGAGTATTTAAAGAATTTTGTTGTGACTTTGTTACCTAGAGCAGGGCTTTTCAACCTGTGGTATGCATATCACTGGTGGTATGTCGGCACCTGGAAGATGTTATGCTTACGATGGGTTGAAAAGCACTGTAAAAAAAAGGTGTAAAATAAAGTGTAAAAGTGTAGTGTGTAGCCTGGGGAAAGGAGTCAGTTATAGCTACACTGAAGACAAAAGGAGGAGGGGATAGACATGCCCGCAGGATGTATATATTTGGCCTAGGGCCGCCCTGGAGACAGCAAGGGGCCAGCCCACCCCAGCTTGCAATCAAAGGAAAACCCCAAATCTCCACGCCCCCTGGGCAGAGACGCAATTGCCACTCCTTGCCATAGCTAGGGCAGGACTTGCAAGTACCTCCATCCTGCAAAGTGGCACTCCCACCCGCCCCGACTAAAGGCCGAGCGCTCCAGCCTCGCCTTGCCAAGGAAGGGGTTGGCAGTCAATACTACATCCGATTTGCAGCCTGTCAGGGACGCTCAAAGGCAGCCCAACTTTATTCTGGAATTTCAGGGTTGGAAAGCGGAGGGGCAGCGCTGCGTTCGCAGGCCTGGCAGCACTTGCTGGAAAGCCTCCTGCTTCCTCCCCCCTGCAGCTACCTCCTTCGGAGCCACCCTAATTCCAATGGGCCTGCCATGTGACAGTGCCAAGTGAGCTACGCTTTGCAGGACGAAGCTGGCAGACCTATGCCGGCAGGCCTGTCAGAATCAGGACAGCTCCAAAGGAGGTAGCTGCAGGGGGGGGGAGCAGAAGGCTTTTCAGCAGGTGCCGCCAGGCCTGCAAATGCGGCGCTGCCCCTCCGCTTTCCAACTCCGGAATTCCAGAGTAAATTTGGGCAGCCTTTGAGCGCCGCTGAGAAGCTGCAGGTCTGCTGTAGTCTCGGCCGCTGGCCCCTTCCTAGAGAACAGAGCCTAGAGATGGGCTGCAAGCTGCATTAAGCAGCATTGCATAATGGGAGGAAGCCAAGAAAAGTATTTATTTGATGTGGCAGAGACCTTTGTAGACTAAGAGATAGGACGTTGACTAGCAGATAAGTGAAAGCAAACAATTGACTCTGCTTCACATAATTTTATAGCTCTCTCCTTTCCATTAAATTCTCGGTCTATCCATTGAGTAAATAGAATACATTCTGTCTAATCTGGATTAAGACACATTTATTTTTCTTTCTTTAGTTCTTTAATTTTATTCGGAGGACCAGGTTGGAGAAGTGGTTAAGATACCAGGCTAGAAACTGGAAGACTGTGAGTTCTAGTCCCACCCTTGACAGGAAGCCAGCTGGGTAACTAAGTCAGTCTCTCCCTCTCTCTCTGTAAGAAGCGGGCAATGGCAAATCACTTCCAAAAAAAACCTTGCCAAGAAAACTGAGGGACTAGTCCAGGCAATCACCAGGTGTCAAAAACTGACCTGAAGGCACACACTGTTTAACAATTTCCTTGGGTTTTTTATCCAAGGCATGAAGACTTAGTCTAGAACCATGTTTGCTCAATGGAAAAAAAAACAGGGATAATTTTACTATAGAAGTGGCTCAAGATCAGATGATGAACCTGTTTCCTAATCTGATATGTTACCAAAACTCTAAAAGTGGCAGATTTCTGATACTATCAAGTACTGGGGGGGAGGGAGAGAATATAATATACCGTATATTCCGGCGTATAAGGCAACCCAGCGTATAAGACGATCCCCGTCTTCGGCGCCGAGTCGCATGCCTAGAAAGTCACCTTATATGCTGGAAACTACCGTTATTTCTGGCGTATAAGACGACTCGACGTATAAGACGACCCCTGACTTCGGCACCAATTTTAACGCTTGTGAAAGTCATCTTATACGCCGGAAAGTACGGTATAACCAGATACAACATTGCAGTTCAGGGACAAATACATAAATCCAGGAACACTAGTAAAATAATGCTCTTAGTGTAAATAATGCAGACATTTTATTACATTGACTGATGAAAAAGAGATGGATCAGCACTATGAAAATAAAAAATGCACAAAATCCTTGCTGCATACATTTATTCCCCCAGTTCCCAATATAAATGGGGAAACATGTTCCATGCAGGTTTCACTACTACATGATGATCATAAATATTTCCCAGATGAAGTGGAGGGATGTAAATCAACCGAGATTTTGTCTGATGTCAACATTTCTACGTTTTATTCTGAGCCTCTCCAGGTAAGGATTCTGGTTGGAGTCCCTGGAAATCTGCTGACAGTCAGTGTAGACAATAATCAGTCAGACAAATCAAGATATAATAGTACGATCCCTATTCTACACAATGGAATCCTTTTCTCAACAAATACTAAAAGCAAAATGTACAGTAATGTTGTACACTCAGATTACAATAATGCAGTCCTCAGGAAGAAATTTTCCATGAGAGAAAACCAGCTTTTGTTTTTTTGCAGTTCTTACCAATGCTCAAAAACAAATAGATAGAAGTTTGTTTCTTTATGGGATGCAAAATAATGCATAATTTGTAGGATAGCTCTAAGCAGGTTCACCACATCTCATGCCCATACTTACTTGTCACCCCAAAGATCAACCTTTAAACCTATAAAGTAATGTGTTGAAAAAGAGAATTTGCCACATCTTTCCTTCTATTTTTCAGTCTGCTCAACTGCAGTTAACTGTTACAATTAGAAAAATGAATGTGGGAACTGAGCTTCAACTTGTTTTAGATGGAATTACACTCTCTTTGAAACAGCAAGTTCTCAGTTCTGGAAAACGAATTGATCACTGAATTCCCAAGCAGTATCTCTACTGGTGCATAATTTACAATATATGGTACCTGGGATTGCACTTGAAAAGCAGCCAGAAACTACAGTTGATGCAATGCGAGCAGCCTGGTTGCTAACAGATATGGGGACCAATAGTGCCTTTACAATACTGAAAAATCTGCTTTGGCTGCCAATTGTATACCCGGCGTATTTTATTTGCTGATATTAAACTTTAATGTCCTAAATCACTTAGCAACTAAGAGAATTTCTCTCCTGTTACCAGCCCTGTCCAGCTGATAGATCTGCAGAGACATCTCTTCTGAAGAGACCTCTGCTACCACAGGTCTATTTTTCTGGCATGAGGGCCTTGTTGCTTCCAAACCATGGAATGGAGGGATTTTTGGCTTTCAGGTCCCTTATCTCAGCATTCTGTGATAGATAAATTAATTTAGATAAAGACACCTTTCTTTCACCAAGCTTTCAATTATTAGTTGGCATCAGTATTATTAATAATAGTATTGGTTTATGCTTTAACTTTTTAGGCTCCAAGTCTTTTTTCAGTTCTGTTAGCTAATATGAACAATCTCTAAAGCAGAAAAACAAGAAATAAATGAGTTAATCCCAATCAAAGCATGATACAGGGAACTATTTAAAAGACATCAATCACAAATTAGCCTATTACTGCTGTTAGTTCATGACCCATATAGTTACAATGTCATTCAGAATTCTCCACCCCATTGCGTGATAAAAGTGAACAAACTGCATTGCTATACAGATTGACAAAAAATGGCATGCATTTATTATTCTGCTCCTGCAGGGAGTCTAGAAAAGATTTCCTAAGGAAAACCTATATTATCCTTCTAATAGTTTGCAAAGCAGAATCCAAGGAGCTTCATGGTTGACCCCAGAACCAAATTCAAGTCTCATTCACAAAATGTAAAACTGTTACAAGTCTGGCCAGTATTTTCCTTCAATACCTGCAGGGGACACAATTATTTATTTACTTATTTGATTTGATTTTTATCTCCCCTTTATTACTTTACAAGGCAATGGACATGCCTAAAACTCCTTCCTCCTTCTCTTTTCCCGACAACAACAACCCTGTGAGGTGGCTTGGGCTGAGAGTGAGTGACTGGCCCAAAAACACGCCTAGAACTCACAACCTCCTGGTTTCTAGGCCAATAGCTTAATCCAATTGGCTCATCCTAATTTAAATCCTAAATTTAAATCTACTTAATTTCCATTATTCTGCCCGCAGAAGAGCAATTGTTGACCTCTTGTTGCTCTTCCGTTTGTTTGTTTGTTTGTTATTGGCAATCTAATGGGTTGGGGTTTGGGAGGAGAGAGCACAAAGGAAAATAAGAAACAGAACTTATGCTATGCTGTGGCCGATTTCTCTCACAGGAATTCCCCGATCTTCAGCAAGGCAGCATCAAACTAGTGATCGAGAATTTTCGTGTATACGGCTCACGTTCTACTATAGGCCAGCCTGAGGGCAGACCACAGCGTTAGCAAGCAAAACCACCAAATATCACTGCAGTTAATTCTCTTCCAAAGCCGGGGGGGGGAGGTGGGGAGACATTAAAGGAAGATTAACTATGGAACCTCTTTCTTCCTCCGTTCCACCCTCCTCAACATCTACCCGGTTGCCTACCCCCAACCGATGAGATCCAAGGAATGAAATCAACAAAGTCACGCTTTCTTGTCACGTGTTTAATGTTTTCATCCAATCGAGCTTTCAGATGCTTTGGGGGGGGGGGGAATTAAGAAAAGCCACATTTGGCATGCCACATTTTCTTTCTAACAAAGCCGGGGGAGGGCGGGGTGGGGGGGGGGGTAGGAAAGGAAAGAAAGAACAAAAGCTGAAAACAGAGCGAGTACGCACTAGACTAGGAGAAACCCCGGAGTCTAATTAACAGCAAACATATTGGAGGCAGTCTTACTGCTTCATAGTGACTCTATTTATTGTGACTCTGGTCTGTTGTTATCTATCAAGACTCCTGCGGGGATCATAAAGTCGCCTTGCAGATACCGCAGCTCCTTTCCGTCTGATGATACTATCTGATTTTTTTTTTTTTTTTGTCCTGACTTTTCCTCTTGCCAAAACAAAACAGAAACAACGGACTGAACTCACCACGGTCACCGGGGACACCATGTTTGCCGAGGAGGCTTCTGTAGGCAGCTCTTCACGCTTGCTTATAGAGCTCGCTCTAACTGCGGGCTGCCGCTCCCGCTTTTAATAAGATCAGAGGGCATCTATTTTTCTCAATGCCGATTGTTTTCTCCGTGCTTTTTAAAGAACGCCGTGACGTCATAATGCTCGGAGCGAATGTGCAGAGGGGGGCGGTCCTGCAGCTAATACGTCTCCACCCCGCTCTCCTCCTACGAAGGGCTTCACTCGCTGGTGAGTAGACCCGTCCCAATGCGTATTGTAAGGGGAGCAGGGAGTTGTCCCAAGCTAAAAACTGCTTTCCCCTAAAAGATGTTGACCTCTTCTCAACAAGCATATATAATTGCGCCGATCGCCAGTTTCTATTTTCTTTTTTTTGCGGGTCTAAATGTTTTTCATCGCCCTTTCCTTGATAGCGTTTGCTTGATTTAAGAACAAGGTTAGCTGTCACTGTGGCTCACAAGAAATGAAACATCTTCAGCTACGGTCGTCTTTATCGGAGTCAACAGAAGAACCAAAAAGAAAAAAAAAAGAGTATGCAGGCTGCAGCTTTTTTTTTTTTTTTTCACTCGAATACATACTGGAAGTTGTACAACACTCAGTGGAGACTGCAGGGACAATAGTAGCTACCAAGGTTTCAGTCCAATATCTGTTTATCTCTAAGTAATCCCACTGTAAGACACCGAGGTACACTTGTAAATAGACATGTACAGCAACGCTGTGTAGATTAAGGCAGGTTGACAGACATATTGACTACTGAGTAATGCATCTAGGCCAGGGGTGTCAAACTCAATTTCATTGAGGCTGCATCAGCATTGTGGTTGCCCTCAGGGGACCCAGGTGTGGCCAGGGTGGGCGTGTATGGGGTGGGTGTGGTTTATTGGGTGGGCGTGGTCAGCTCTACATCATTCGCATCAAGGGTGCATGCACGCACCCAGGGAGTGGGGCCAATGTGGCAGGGGCTGGTTCCTCGCTGTTTCCAGACAGCCTTGTGAAGCTAAGACTGAATGTGTTTCAGCATAGATGGCCACCACAAAATTGTACATTGGCTCCCGGCAGGCCTGAGCCAAGGCAACAGGGGCTGTTCCCTCACTGTTTCCAGGATGGCTTCGCGGGCCACATGAAACCACTTTGCGGGCCGCATCCGGCCCCCGGGCCTTGTATTTGACATGTCTGATCTAGGCTAGTTTCCCAAAGTGAACAATCACATAAAACTAATATTAACTGAAATTTAACAGATAACTAAATGATAAACATTGAAAGTAATCATGCCCTTGCATTCCCTACATGGATATAAACCTACAGTTTCCTTACGTAGGCCGTGGAAATAGCATTCATGGTATTCATTTTTTCCCCCTCTGTCTTCTTCCATTACATACATGGAAATCAGGGATTTACATTTTAAGTGTCAGAAAGGAGGCAAGGCAACTCTAGTCCACCCTTCAACCAGTGATTTCTAGACCTCACCCCATCCCCATGATCATGATGCTGCAAGCTCCAGGTATTGAAAAAGCCAGAAGGTTGTACTGACATAGCCAAACATTCCATTATTTTATTATTATTTATTTATTAAGTCTATCCATTCTTTATTAGTCAGCTAGTCTGCCACTGAAAAAGCCACAAATCTACTACAAACAGGATCCAATTTGCAATCCAATCTACCAACAAAAAGTTAAGTCATTTCTGCTATCCAACAGGGAAAAATACTAGAGAGTGAACCTGGATGGTTCTCCCTCTCTCTCTGAAATGTGCATTCCCTGCCCCCCAAACAAACATTTTCAGGATAACTGAAACAAGACAGAGCAGATACACGTGTACAAAAGAAAAAAAAAAGCTACAAGCCAGATCAAGTCAAGGAAGAAACAAACAAACAAAAGGGTAATATGAAGATCCGACACAATGAAGGAAGGGAATGATTGGAGCAGGAAAAAAAAGAAATGGACATAGCTTGGGAAAGAGAAGCAGGAAGTGCTATCGAAGATAATAGATTGAAAAACCGCATCTAAATTTGAGACTGACAGGTGAAGCAGCTGTGCAGTATCTGAGGTTGGGAGGGGAAGACCAGGGGTCTGCAGACAAATTTGAAAATCTCTAAGGCCACATTTGCCCTTTTAGATTGAGCAAAAGCACCCCCAACTTGCACCCCTCTGATTTATAGGACCAAACTGTAAATGCCGATATATGGGAGCTCATCTGCATTATTGATTCTGTTTGCACAAGTCTGAACCGTGTAATCAGGAAGGTATGAACTCTATAATTAGTTACTCCAGACAATTAACCCTAAGGGAGTTAACTCTAGCCCCAAACAACTCTGAGTTCATTTGGAGCTAAGGTTACTATTCCTATCAGCCATATTATCTAAATATTTAATGGGTGTGTTAACCTCCCTATTTATTATGTATGATTGAGACATCCTAGAGAGATGCTGCTAAAATGGGGCCCCTTACACAAAGACAACCAAACAAGTAGCAAAGGAAATCCTATTATAAGCTTGGTAGCGTACAAAAAAATGAATTGGCCCAGTAAGTTTACATCTTCATTTATTCAAATATACGCAAACTTCAGTACTGGCTTTACTCCTAATTCATAGGACTAGACAAAGGGCTCTGATCCCCTTGGGCAAAATAGCTTCCCTTCTATTAAAGCTGGCAGCATCGCCAATATAGCAATAGAGAACCATATAGTAGTTTGACCTTTATTCTTATTTTGGATGGAAACAGAAGAAAACAAATAATTTACTATTCTTATTTGGTTCTCTTATTTTGCATGGAACTTTAAGAAACGTTTCTCCCAACTGGGTGTCCTTGAGGCATGTTAGACTACAATTCCCATCTTGCTCGGGTCAGATTTAATTAGATTGGGAAATCTTTTGAAGGATCGAGGCTAAAGTTTACCTTCTGTGTCAGGCAAAAGCTGATATGGGCGTGGTAATGATGCAAAGTGGGTGATGCCACATCATAACACATGGGCAAACCTGAGATTTTTCTGTCATTATTGAGTTTAAGGGGATGTTTTAAGGTTAACCCACCATTTTGGATGCATTTCCTATCTCCAAATGGCACACATTTTCAACAGTTGTTACCAGAGGAGCTTTTGGGTGGGTTATAAGGAGGAAGAGTGCCTGGACTTGCATAAGGGTTTAAACTACCTCAAGCCTTCGGTTGCAGGCCATGAATAGTAAAGCTCAGCCAGCAAGCTCCAGCAGTGAATGGGAATGGAGATTTGGGTTGAGAGAGGTGATTGAAGTACGAGCTACATAATGCCTGCAAAAATACTACTTGCTGCAAGGGTATATTGTACCAACCTTTCCATATGGGAGGGAGGGAGGGAGGAAGGAAGGAAGGAAAGTTTCAGTAGGGATCATTCCTGTCTCATCTTAGAATCAAAAACAAATAGGTCTTTGGATTACCTTACTTGTCTTGAATGAACTGGTGTTTTTATATCCACTCATGTGTACATGAAAAAGCTTCCAATTATAATTCAATGATGATTACTTTTAAAACTAAATCTACAGTAGTTCACTCCAAACCTTTGGGCCTGTCCATTGGCCTTCATTTGTAGCACCATTTGGAATTCTGCAGCGTGAGCTACTAATATTCCAGTTTGCTTGGTCTTCCTTTTAACTCGGTGGCTATGTTCATGTCACACAATTCAGTTGAGGTAAAATTCTAGCAGTTATATTTGTAATTTATATATAAGGTTAAACTTGGTTACTTTTGAAAGCTTAATGTCTTACACAAATGCAATTTACTGGATTAGCTTATTGCATAAACCAGCGGTTCTCAACCTATGGGTCGCGACCCCATTTGGGGTCGATCGACCATTTTTCGGGGGTCGCCAAAGGTGGCGATCCGCCATTTTTTGCGGCGCCGTGCATGGGGGCACCGCCGCACACGCGCGCCGCGCACGGGGGCGCCGCCGCACATGCGTGCCACGCATGGGGGCTGTGCACGCACGTCGCACATGGGGGGGCGTCAGGCATGCGCGTCGCACATGGGGGTGCAGCGCATGCGCGCCACGCATTGAGGCCCCGCCCCCATGCGCACGGCGCCGCGCATGCGCAGAACGTTTGTGTGACGGGGGTCGCCGTCACACAAACGTTGAGAAGCACTGGCATAAACCCATAAAATGGGTTAATTTAGTAGCAACATTAAGCGTGTTTTGTGAACACAACTTTATCCCAGGAACGCCTTAGGAACATTCTATAAATGTGTTAAGATTGCATTTTTTTTGCCTGATAGTAATTGATGCAAGAACAAAGAGCATCATTATTAACGAGATTTAGCAACAGCCATATAATCTTTGAGAGCCAGTTCGGTGTAGTGGTTAAGGCATCAGGCTGGAAAGTGGGAAACTGTGAATTCTAGTCATGTCTTAGATATAAAACCATCTGGGTGACCTTGGACATTAGTCACTTTCTCTGAGCCCTAAGAAGAAGGCAATGCCAAACCACTTCTGAAAAACCTTGCCAAGAAAACTGTAGGGACTTGTCCAGCAGTGTAAGAATTGGACATGACTGAATGGAAGAATAGAGAGAGACACACACAGAGACACAGATATGGATACTTACAATATTTGATATATTATTATATTATATTATATTATGGCAATTCGGAAATCTCTGAGCATGTGCGAGAAATAGGTGGGGATAGCGATGCCCGTCCTATGGTGCTGTGTGCAGTAGTTCAGTAGGAAGTGAGGAGTGGAAGAAGGTTGTGTTGTAGTTGACTTGTCCGCTAGATCAACTGAAAATAAACCCTGACATAGAAAATCCCACCAAATGTGAAGTGCATGCAGTAATACAATTCCTATGTGCAAAAAAACTTTCGGCAGCTGCGATTCATCATGAACTGTGTAATGTTTACAGACCAAATATGATGAGTGAAGGTCAATGGTACTGCATGTTTAAAGTTGGACAAACTGACGTGCAAGAGAAGGCAAGAAGTGGCCGCCCATCTGTAGTCAGCAATGAACTCGTGCAGGAAATTGACTTTAAAAAAGTCCATGAAATCCGTCAGTTCACAATATCTGCACTTTCTTTACACTTTCCCCAAATTTCTTGGACTGTCTTGTACAAAGTAGTGATAGAAAATTTGG